AAGTCATGTCGTGGCGGCACGTACTTTTTCCCGCTCTCTGCATCCTTCCGCATCTTCCGCATGCTTTCAATCTCGTCAAAACTCCTCGGAAGAAGATCGGGCAGCGGTGTCGCTACGGAAACAGCACGCATCTCATCCTCGTATATCGCCTCTGATGTGCTCGGAAAGAGCAAAAGGTAACAGCCATCATTTTCGGTGGTCATTTGGCTTTTATTTTTGTTTTCCTTCTGTAAGCGTTGCGGGGTCCGTTTCACACTCGCAGGCACAATTCCTCAAAGGGACGGTGTTGACTTGTCTCGTCTCCTCCTCCCAGCCACGCCCTGTAGATAAGAATAAGAAACAAGTGGCACGCCAAACTAATGACACTTCCGTCGGTGTGAAAACAGTAATTCTTCGCTGGTGTCAATGCAACAACTTACGTGGTGGAAAAATAAAATAAAAAATAAAATAAAAGAGAAGCGGGAAGGCGGTAGGCGCACTACACACATACAAGCATGACAGTCACTTTTCCCCCCAACATTTCCCTCGCCGCCTCCTGCCTGGACGTTGGGGCGAGGGACCTTCGCTCGCTGCCGTCCGTGTTTTTTTTTCTTTTTCTTTTCTTTTCTTGTATTTCGCATCGGGCAGTAAATGTTTCATCGTATCGCAGCAGAAAACACACGTGGAATTCGACACCACGCAGAGACGCTGCGTGTGTGTGTGTGGGTGGGTGGGTGGGTATACACATCGCCAGCAAAACCAATGGGAAAGCATATAATAAAAAAATATAAAGAAAGAAAAAAAAAAAAAGAGGAGAACCCAAAACAATCGGGCCCACCATTTTCTCTCTGCAGCAGAGACACGGAGTGGGAATTACTACACACAACACACATAAAAATAAAATAAAATAAAAATAAATAAAAATAAATAAATAAATATGTAAAACCAAAAGATAAAACGGCAGAGAGAAACACACAGAAAAATAAAAATAATAATAATAATGAAATGATAATGCACCCAAATGACATCCTCCCCAAATATATACATATAAATTTTTTTTTTTTTGAGGAGGCTCCTACTTTTTTACTGTCATCGTCTGGAAAGGTGTGAAATTATTTGTCATGGGCGTCCATCAAACAATCACGGACAAGATACACGCCAAAAAAAAAAAAAAAAGCATAAAAATAATTAGCCATCATCCAGATGCATCTGTCTCATACTGCGCCAAGTTTGCTGTCTGATGCATTGACCCTCGTAGGCCGAAACACCAGCAGGAGTTCGGCACTGATAGGTTGCCGTGACGGGACGGCAGAGCTCCGCATCCACCGTGAAGGATGACATGTCTTGAAAGACGCGACAGGATGGGTCCAAGTGGCGGAAGTGCACCTGGGCATCATCCCCCCCAATCACCGTGTCGCATAGAAGGGAAAGAACAAACGGTATTTCTTCCCAATCACTGAAATGGTACACACGTGGGATCACGTAATACGGGCTGTGCTCGGGTTCAAAGATGCACCGCACAGACACGTCTCGTGCCGCGGTGTACGTAAAACCGTCGCTCGGAGACTCAATGTCACCGGAGCTCGTGCACGCAAGAAACTCCATATTCGATGCGGCCATGTGACGCGAGACAAAAAGAAGCATCGCATCATATCGAAATTTCCTCGCACTTCCAAGACGCCTCAGCCTACTTTCCTGCGAAATCGTCAGAATACACTCCGCCTTCTGTTCAACC